CACACACACACACACACACACACACACACACACACACACACACACAAGTCAGTACTGAGTTCTGCTTAAATGAGCTGGTCAAAGTAGAAGAGAGGACATGAATAATGGGTACCTTTACGGGCAAGATAAAAGCAAGAGCAGCATCTGAGAAGCCCCAGAAGCAGACATGCTAGGAAGCTAGCAACCACTTTGTAAGAAGTCCTGACGTTGTTACGTTGTGTGTTTAACTGTACGAAAACCCAGAAGGGAAAAGGAACCACCACAGATGCAAGAACCACTACGATTCCAGTTTTTACCCAAAGATTTTCAGCAGAACTGAAATCAAAGGATGCTGATACGAAAACAGGAATTGTGTCATCAAACTTCCTCAAAAAGTCATTTCTAATTATTCCCCCGGCAGATCAGAGCCGGGCTGGAGGCCCTGGCCGCGCTTAGCTAGCTGTCAGCTGAATTAACGGAGTATGAATGATTCCCTCTTCCGGTATGAAGCTACGATCAAACAGAGAGCAAAAGACGAGTGTGTGTGCTGCTATTTTATATTTCTCTGATATATATATAAAGAAAATAAATCAAACCTGCCGTGGCTGAACTGTATTCGGCGCTGTTGCTACTATGTCGGCACATCAGCGTCCCGGAAGTAAAAAACAAAACACGCTGTTGGAGCTCACAGCGCCCTCTTGCGTTTTTTAATTTTTTAGAAAGCACAACACCGACTGGCTGCCAACCAAACTGTCCAAACTGTTGTTTGCTCGTTTGTTTTTCCTCTCTCTAGATTCCTGTGCTGAGCATCCGGGGGCCCTACTCCGCCGAAGTACTCAGACCCAGTCAGCAGGCCAACGCGTCTTCTGAGAGGTCATCTGCATAAGTCCTACAGTTGTGATCATACTTCCTTTTTTTAAATTTGTGCTATATCAACTAGTCTACTGTTTATAAAAAAAAAAGGTTTTCAGTGCGCAGGTCACCAGCTCCCATCTCCAATCCAGAAATGACCGAGACAGGCAGTAAACACGTCAGCCACAACTCTGTGCCACAGGTACTGCAAACATCAAGCTCCTCTGCAGCCAACAAAAGATGAACTAGTTATTCTACTTTATAAGAGAGAAATTTATTAGATTCAAATCATATCCTAGTGATATATTTCTGACTGTTGTAGTTTTCATCGCATACAGCAGTTGTGTTTCTGGTTATTATGCGTTTGCCTCTCATGTCATCATCAGAATTCACAGGATGGCCCTTGTTTAAGCAGTGTCCCCACACGGACTGGATCACCCAAAAGGTATTACACGGGCCAGTTAGATAACACAAAACTAAATTTGATACTTTATGGATGTCTAAACAAACATCTACTGTTTCCTTCCCTTTGCTTCTTCAAGTTGGTATCAATCAGGAGGCATGTTCGATTCTCCATTAAAACAGGCACTGATGGTCAAGCCTGTGTACTACCACACACGGAAGAAGAGTAAACATTTGAAAGCAGCTCCAAAAAAGTAAGAGCAACTTCCTTTGCTGCAACAAATTCAGAAGACTTTTGCTTTTTTTAACAGGTGGTTGATACACTGTTTGCACATAGTTTTTTTTAGGGGTTTTTTTTTGCATCAGACATAAAAACAGGACATATCAGGAAAAAAAATGGCTGTTTAAATTGTACATGTTTATAACTACAGGACATTAGTTGAATAGGAACCAGACTTGCTAAGTCTGGTTCCTTCTTCCCTCACAGCATCATCACAGTGGAATTGTATGTATATAACAACACAAAAAAAGAATGTAGCCTTGGTCTCAGAAACTTTATTATTTCAGTAACAAATGTCATACTTTGTGAGATTTTGGGAAGACATTAAAACTAACCAGAATACTTTATTAGAACTCTATAACAATCTTTAGAATCTCACTATAGACTACTGTAACAACTGCTGAAAGGCTGAATAATGAGCAGCCTCTGAGGAGAGGACCTTTTCTTTGCATTGGTCATCTTAGTTTGCTGCTGGCATTCCCCCCCCCCAAAAAAAAAGTTTTTAAAAAAATCGATTTTAACACAACATGGCCAAAAACATTGGTATTGTACACCTCTGGCATAAGGATTTCTACATCCCAAACGTATAATCTCATAGCATGATCTTCATCTTACAGAACAGACTGAACTGACTGGATGTCCAGATGGAGTCATGACAGTGAGCAACCTGATGTCAGCAGCGGGGCTGAATAAAACCAAATAAAAAAAGCATAACCTCAACCTCAGCAGCATCTGCATACGATACGTAACCAGCACGACTTCAAACGCTGTGATAGCTGCGCCTTCCTGAACGCATCTGTTGCCATCCTGTATCTGGTGGGTCCGTTATGTTATCCATTCCTTAAAAATGCAGTTTCAATTTCATACTAAAAATATAAGAATTTTGATGAAGATGTATCTGTTGTTCGGTGGCATCTGAGGCAGTGCAATTAATCAGATGTTTGTAATGTTGGCAAAAGGAACAGTTCAGTAGTTAGATACTTTAAAAAGGAATGCCGATGTCTCAGAGGCATTGGATGGCTGGGGCACGTCAGAGGCGGTGACCTTCCAGGTGTCAGTGAGATAGAAATAGACAAGTGTCACCAGAGAGACAGTCGGGATCAACGTCTTCAGGGTCTGTAAGCAGACACCTATCAGCAGCCACGGGGCTTCACAGTGGAGGCTGGCGGAGCTGGCGGCGGCTCAGATGACAAATCACGGGCCCCGAGAGTGGGGCATAGTCAGAAAATCTGTCTTTCTCCTATTCGTCAGCACACGGTAGCAGCACAGCCCAACACTCACTGCCGAAGGGTTTGTTTTTGAATGAGAGAGAAAGGCTGGTTGTAACAACAAGCACGTTTGTTGCAAACAGCTAAAGGCCTCACAAAGGTCGACAGTTAACAATACAAAAGATGCGGTGACTAATAGGTCAGGAAGACAGGCCGCCAGTCTGGTTGCACCTCCCACTCCTGTTTGGCTGAGATAGTTTAGCTAAAAACTGCAAAGTGTGTCCAAAGTAGAAAAAAAAAGAGGACTTTTTGGCAAATTGTGCAGAGTTGGAAAAACCACTGCTTAACAAACACTTCATAGAACAGTTCATAGCAACCAGACAGGGCTGGATTTACAGGGAGGGGGACGTAAATCTTGCAGCAGATGCCTTTTTCGCACCGTCTCAAACACCAGTGGATATAAAACCAGAGCAAGCTCTGAGCAGAGTTTGCTCCAGTTGTGTCTAATATGAGCGTGCACACGTGGGTCAGACATCTTGAAACTAACAAGAAAAAAAAAAGAAAAAAAATCAAAAGTATTTGTAATGAAGCGCAGCAGCTTCCTCGTTCCCCCCTCACTCTAGCAGGGGCTATGTACGAATCTTCCTCTTATCTTCGAACAGTGAGCGCACGAGGTAGACCTGAATGGCCGACACAACCATCATCACAAAAAGGTTGACCACCGACCAGAAGTTCACCGTTTCGAAGTTACTCTCCTGGAGATTTCGGTCGCGAGCCTCAAACGCTCGCAGCAGCGTCTGGATTTGTACACTTTTCCCCAAACGAGACTTCACGTTGTTGATTGTGTCCTGAAGAAAGGAGCGGAAACAAAACAAACAAAAAAAAAACAGTTTGAGAGGAGAACCAAAATGAAGAAGCTGAGCTTAATCAAGTTTGTAAACAAAGCTCAATCAGGTGTGTTCCTTCCTGCAGGGAACAGGAAAACTTCCCCTACATCTGGAAAACCTATTTCATGTTTACAACCATGTCATGCCTGCGTGACTTCTGACACAAAATAAGGCTGCCCATGAGTCACGGAGGGGGAGTGCTGCTGGCCACTGTGGCGCAAGCTGGAACAATTAGCTGCCGGCAGCCTATAGGTGAGAGTTCACGTCGCCCTCTATTCTTGTGACACAGTGTGGAACCGTGCCTGCATTTCCTGAACCGCATGCCATTTTCTGGGTAATCTGCCGGGTCGTCTGTGTCATCCTGTCTCGGCGGCTGACCGCAAAAGGGACAAAGTCTAAAACACCAAGCTCTCTCTCAAATACAAAGCTTTAAACTCTGCGTGTTCCTCACCATGATGTCCTCCAACTTCATGTCCAGGATGTCCGTTCCATGGACGTACTCCTTCCAGTCGTCGGGGTCCTCGTCCGTTTCCACGTTGTCCAGGATCAGCTCGAAGAAGATGATCTTCTCAGAGACAGTGCTGAAGGTGTTGTCGAAGCAGAACATGTAGTCTCCGTCCTCCTCCGCCTCCACGCTGGAGGGACACAACCAGCGATCAGAGCTTGACATCCTGCTTCAGACATGAATAACCTTTCGATAGCAGCTGCTTACGTGTGGACACTATCGGACTTGCGGTAGTCGTTGAAAAGCATGTGGCCGGAGGGAGAAGAGATGTGGAAGTCTACATCGAGGCCGGCACCGTCTAATACCTGTGGAGGGTAGAAGTAAATAAATAAGAAGCACAAGTAAGTTTGTAATGCGCTTGTCAATGTGTGAAGGCATGTGTAAAAACTGTCAATTTAAGTGTTATTATGGAAAGCATTGAAAATAAAGCATTTTGTGCACCTAACGAGTTTGAGTCAGTGAAAGCTGGATATAACAGAAGAGCACATTTTATACATGATCACAAAAAACACTTTTTAGGGTAGATGGAACCACTGTATGATGAATTCCCTTTTAAGATATACCCATTCTGTAATGGACAGGATATATCAGAGCAGCTGGTTCTTAAGTGTCATATGGCATCACTTAAGAGAAACAAACACCAGCAGAGGAGCAGTAACGGGCACCGACCAGGAATACTGGTTTCAAAATAGTAGATATTACCTACCGGTTCTGCTACTTTAAATAACCTAGCTCAATATATAATGATGTCACTGTGTAGGGCCTGCGGTTGGAATGAATAACTATGAAAAATAGACAAACAGGTCTGACAGGTGCGATGCTCTGTGAAGTTTGACACGCTTTTAGCTATTGATTAGTTAACGGGGCACATAAACGAAAGGTTCTGTTTTACTAAGCTAACGTCAGCTCTTAACATAACGTCATAGAATGTATGGAAGTCCTTATAACCTGATATTCAATCTCCAACGATGCGTGTCTCTTCATGGTTTGAAAGAAACACTCCTTTCGACCAGCAGGGAGAGTGAAGGTGAAGTCGCTGTCCATAGCCTGGGAGAATGAAGCCAGCGCCACGAACCCGTCCAGGACAAGTGAGACAAACACCAGCAGCACGCAGGACCATCCCCGGACAGGACCCATCGTGGGTTAGTGCTCCAGGGGACCCAAAACAACCACAGCGGTACTCCGGTAGCTGCGAAACGCCCGCGAAACAGCCCCGAGAAACTTGCGACACTCCACTAAAGTTGACAAGTCTGAAATTCTCACTAAGTAGTAGGAAAGTCGCCCGACGGCTCAGGACCCCGCCTGTCTGAAATTAAACTTTAAAAATCGCAGTGAAATTGCGACATGATTAATTATATTACCTTTTTGAAAAATATGTATCAACAAAGTAAATTATTTTTAACTAAACGAAAATAGTTATATCAGGCAACATTTGGTCGCACCGCCTGAGTGGCAGCTTGGAAGTTGTAGTTTCCTCCTAACATGTGGCGGACGCGGAAGATAGTTCAAGCTCTAAGTGGAACATTGTTTAAAGAGATTAAGCAACAAGGGAATGTACGGCTCCTATTATTAAATGAAGCGGGTTTAACTAAACTTGAAGCCTGTGGACTATTAATTGCTGTAATAAAACCCAATGTATAGTCGAGAAACGCGATTGTCCATATTTGATTTTTGTCGGTAAATCTTACATGTAGCTGGCCTCCAAAATCATTTAAAGCACCCAAATGAAATCGATATACGACTTTAAATAGATAATTCTGAACAGTTAGAAAGTTTAAAGCACCATGGACCGAAACGCTATTTTTTTTTTTCAATTCTAGACATATACGATGGTAATGATTAGCCTTTTTCTGCCATAGGTATGTAGGACTTATGCAGGAATTTAACATGGACAAAGTAGTATTGTTTTGTTAGAATTTTGTCAATTTAAAAATAAAAAGGGTGGTTAACAGTGTAGTAGTGTTCGTGTGATGTTGAAAAGTACACTGTGTTCACAATTTCCTCAGGCATTCACGACACCTCAAATTCAGTTATATCACTAAACAAAATAATGGTATAACTGCGTCAATTACAATGGATCATCAAATGGTTGTGCAACACATTCAGTTATTGGTTACTTCGTAGATTTACTTATCAAAAAATGCGTGACGCGTCTTATCCCAGAGTCACCAACTCATCCTCAATTTGGGGGGCGGAGTTTTTCGCAGACTTCGTAAATTCTCCTCTGATTGGACGACCAATACTTTAGCGTGATTTCATTGGTTAACCGCTGAGCGTGGGTTGAACTTAGACGGAACCGAGCTCCTAGTCAACAGCAGAGGCAAGTGAGGCTGAAAAAGAGGCGGACAGCTAGTCCGTCGAAAGAGTGATAGCGTACCCTAATTATACGTTTTTTTTTATCCCCAGAACACAGTTACTCCTTACCATTAATTGCGTAGGCTCCCAGCCCACGTAGAGGCACATTTCGGTGTATCGTGCAGCCGCAACAGATCAGGAAAAACCAAAGAGCGAGGATGTTGGTCCCCGCGGGAAGATAATGAAGAGGCTGCGTGTTTTGTTGGTGTGCCTCATTGTAGCTCTCCTGTGCTGGTAAGCTCGGCCTGGCACCTCCATTCACACATTCACGGCATTTCTGACAAATAACAGTGACAACATGAGGTCAGACACGTTTCGGGAACGATATAAATCCGACAGGTCGTTTTTTGAGTGCCTGTTTTGACGGCATTTTGCCCACCAGCAGCAGTCTGATGTTTAGGACCAGGAATGGCCCCTGCTACATAGCCTGCATTATCTGCTTGTTATGTCGTGTTGTGTTGCATGTACAAGCAAGTCAGAGCAAGGGATTTGAGATATTTTATCTGTGCTTGTCAGAACTGACTACTAAAGTTGAGCCTTTTAAATGGGTTTGAGAGGAAAAGCAGGGGATAAAGCCAGCGGTTGAGCAGCAGGCAGCTAGCTGTAGTCAGATGGTCAGCCATGGCATATGTTACTTGTCATGTTAACCACATCGTTGCTGAATATTGATAATACAGCTAATGATGGTGGTGGTGGTGATGTGCCCCTTCCCTCTGTCCCCCAGTTACTTAACACAAACATGGGTTCATTTTTTATTTGTAAATCCAAATATCTTGCAATGATTTTCAAAGTGATGTCACTTCTGTGGACCTAAACCCAGAATGGCATTTGTCTTCTTATCAAAAGCAAAATGGTCAAGAATGTATTCCTCTGTAGAATGATTGTCATTTTAAGTCAGTTGTTTGCCAAAGTGTTGTGTTTTTAATGGTGGACAAACCAGTGTTGCCCTGAACTTGGACAACCAAGAAGCAAAAAGGGAAAACAATCATCATTATATAAACCAATGTAACAGACGTTTGTCATTGAATTGCGAAAATGAGTTTCATGCTGGAAGTTGTGATACTTTTCCAAAACACGTGCGAGTCGAGGTTGCGTAGACCAACAAAGGCATGAATTTGACTAATCTAAGAGGCACGCAGCAGGTAACAATACGCAGGGGTTTGTGGAATTGGATTAAGAGTCCAGCTAACGTGCCAACGTTATCCAGAGATGGCTTAGGAGTCCGTAACCACGCAGCTAAATACCAGCAGGCCATCGCTCTACCCCATGCAGACAGTTTTTGTCGATGAAAACTGTCATGGTCATTGTCTTTGACAAAAAAAGGGAAAAAAACAAAGGGTTAGTTACAATTCTTTGTGTAGTAGAAAGTCAGTTTGTGGATTTCATCATTTTAAAAAATAACACTTGAAGCTCTTTAAAAAAACACAGCAACATTTCACTGGTTTAATGTCTGACATTATAAAGTTTTCAGGAAATATAATCCAACACCTTGGTTTCAGTTTAGAGCCTGGAGCAGTTTTCCTGTATTACGGGACTTACTGATCACATCCTCATACTTGAAGTCAGCGATCATTGCATTATTGTTCATTATAATTCGCACCTTCTTTCTGGGGCTCATTTCTCATTGCGTATTGCTCAAACCGGCTTATTGCTCAAACCTGTCATTGTTGGTTGCCTTTCTATCATTGATAATCTGACCTGTCTTTGTTATAGTTTAGTCGTCACTGCTTTGGAAATGGACCAAGTTTGGATTCTGTTTGGTGTTAGACTGAAACGAAGAACACACTTTTATTTTGAGGGAAAAAGAGGAATGCTACCACCTCCTATTTTGTAGCTGCTTCATTCTTTTCCCTTTAACACAATTCGATTCCTAGAAATGCTTTTTTTTAAAGGATGACTAGTACAGCAGATTAAAAAAAAAGCTTACAGAATAATACCGTATGATACCCAGTCAACCAGGGATACAAAGGATTAGCGTACAAGTTGTATTAGCAGGCAAAGCTCAGGGGGAAATATTGTTTTATGAAATAAACCACCGATTGATGCTGCCCGCTGTCTCCAGAACCAACCAAATCCAATGGAAGCCTTTGGAGTGTGGTGTGAAACACCGCTGTGCGTTTTCACTTTCCTGCAAACTAATATCCTGGCTGCCACATGCGAAGCCTCATTACTAATGCAAACCCTTTTTAGCGTGCTGCTGTCTGCCGCCCCCCCCCCTGCCGGCTCTCACGCATCCCAGCAGGGGCAGAGAAACGGGGAGTGCAGTCCTAGCAGTAATCCAAAGGTTTCCAAGGGAGCCCAGATTTTTTTTGCCATTGAAAAGAGGTTGTGTGTTAGAGGGGCCGGCTGTTGGTGAACTATTTTGGGTTGTGTGTGTGTGTGTGTGTGTATAGGGGGGGGGGGTTGTCATCTTGACTCAAGTTATGTTTTTACCTTAAGTTTGTGCCTGGACCAATGTTGGCATGTCTCTCGTCCAGGTGTCACCACTGTAGGGATTTTGTTTTTGGTTCCGTACCTTGGAGCCGCCCCATCTGCGTGTTGTGTGGATCTCTTTGCTCCCGTCCTCAGAGAGGCCCAGGAGAACGTGTTCTGCGTGTGTCATGCTTCCTCTTCACTCACGCTGTCAGCAAAAGGGATCTTACTGCATTTACTGTGTGCCAGCTTCTGCCGTTGACATCAGCATTGCTGCAAGAGACTAAGTACATGTGTCGTTGGGAGCTTTATTTCCCTAGGGTTCACATTTCTAGTCTTAATGATAGCTTCTTCCGTGTAGTTTTCCCATATTTTCATGTTGATTTTACCACTTGGATATTTGCTGATTTCTTGAGGGTGGACACTCAACAGCTGAATACACATTTTATTACATTTTTGGTTGAATAACAGCTTCACGATTACTTGGACATTGAACAAAATTCACCTCTGAGGCCCCAAAAAAGGAATTTGTTTTAACTGGTACTTTCTCAAAACAGGATACCTTCATCATTTCGTCCCGTAGCCGTTTCATAGGCTTAGATTCAGAGCCGCTGGATGATTATTATTGTTATGTAATATGATTAGCACTCAAGAGATAACTGGGCAGTCTGATTACCAAGTAGAATTTTTTTGTTGTTAATAATATGATTGCAGAAACTTAAATACAGAGCATGTTCAGAATGAAATAAACAGTTTTATTTCTTAATTTTATTTCCTGTCTAACCTGCTTTTTCTACAATCTGTTCAGGCAGTTCATTTGTAGAACTACAGTTGCTCTAAGATAGGATCTATAGGAAGAGGTGAACTGTATAGGCTTCCCCTCGCCCTCCACTCCACTGCCCTCACGCCCCTATAGACAAACAGGCCGCTTTTATCCGAGTGCTTTAGTCTTCCACCACAGGACGCTTCTGGAGTCCCGATCCTGAACTGAGCACAGAGAGCCAATGACACCCCTTTCTTCATGTCTGCTTTCTGTTTTAATATTCTGGCTTTAATTGGTGTCCGTTTAGAGGGTGTGTGACCAGCCCCAGGAGGCTGCTCGCCTTCCGCCTTCAGCTTTTTTTTCCTGAAGCTAAATCACATACCAGCCCGTCATTACATCCAGTCACCTTGTAACGTGAAGGTCTTCTAACGCCGTCCGGCCCTTTTGATTTACAGCGCGTGTCCACACACGTGCCATCGTTTCCTCTCCTCTTAGCTCGGCCCGTGCCGGGTTACCGTATTCGCTGTTGTTGTTTATGGGCCAACGGTCCGATGCGGCTTTTTGATTCCTGCGTGAGTCGAGGGTAACGAAAACTTGATCAAACATGAACATCGTCAGCCTTTGTTTCTCTGCCACGCCGCCTTCATTCTGGCAGCTCCTTTGATTTGTGGATTTGAGTTTTTCTTGCTGCACAGGTTTGGTTTTCTGCATGAAGAAGTTGTTTTCTAATTTGAGATCAAATTGAAGCCGTAGGGAGAGAGACCCGACCACATCTGCTGTAATGGT